CAGAACAATGTCTTCATATACAATCCTGTAACAGACAATATCCTAAAGTCTTCCAGTCAATGCTTGGGAAGATCTAACCCCATGTAACTACAAAGAAACACATAAGTATTGTTTCAAGAGGAGAACACCAAGTGAGAAACCTGGATATTGCGTGTGTGTGTGTACTTAAGAAAGTTCCTATCAGCCCCTAGTTGAAGTTGTCCATAGCTTCCTCCTAAGCAGCCTTGGTATCTTGATAAAGGTAAAGGTAGTCCCTTGACATGAATGTCTAGTTGTAACCAACTGTAGGGAGCAGTGCCCATCTCCGTTACTAAGCCGAAGAACCTATGTTGTCCAAGGACTGCTCTGGTGGTCAGGTGGCCAGCGTGACTGCACCAAACGCCATTTACCTTCCCACCGAAGTGGTACCTATTCATCTACTTGCATTTGCATGCTTTCAAACTGCTAGGTTGGCAGAAGCTAGGACTAGTGGCAGGAGCTCACTCCATCATGCAGCACTCAGGCCTTGAACTGCCAACCTTCCAATCGTCAGAATTGGTATCTTAATCACTAAGCCACCGCATCCCCTGGTGTCTTGAAGCAAGATGAAAATTAGATGTTTTTCTGTGTCTTGTAATCCCAAAGGAAACACCCGGGGGACCCTTGCATGCCTTTGCTAGGAAGCTTCCCTTACCTGTGCTGGCTGCATCACAGCTCTGTCTACGTCCCAAAAGAACCAGAGTTAAGCACTGATATTTTTTGCTGATTGTAAAAATGGCAAAGGACAATGGAGTTAAAGACAGCTGTTTCTCTCTTTGACTTTGGCCCCAGTCTAGACCTGAAATGGAAAGACTCAGAATGTTAGATCTTTCATCTCTCCTTGCACCCAATCTCTTTTAGCTCTATGCCAGGGAAGGTCCTATCACACTTGGCCATTAAAAAAACAAAAACAACAGGGAAAAAGACAGATGTACACAAATCCTTGCATCCTGTTCTCATTGAAACTTGCAGTCTTTCAAGCAGTAGCCATATTAGTCTGTTGCAGAAAAACAGCAAAAGTTTCAAGATTAAAAACGAAGTTGTTTTATACATGCCTTTGTGAATATATCCCACTCTAGCCAGTGCATAAAGTCTTGGCATGGCTGGTGATTTAGCAAAGTGACATCTGCATCTATCAACTTGCCCCCAATATTACCTAGGTTTCATCGTGAGTTTGATGATTTTTAGATCCTTGTGTGTTAAAGGAAAGCATCTCTGCGTGTGAATGCAGCACCAATATTTTAATGCCTGCATTTACAATGTTTCTACAAGTTGAGTCCCCCTTATCTAGAATTCCAAATTCCAAAATCTTCCAAAATATTTGTCCACATGGCTGGCTGAGATAGTGGCACCTTGCTTTTTGATGGTCCAGTGTAAACAAATTTTTGTTCACGCAAAATTATTAAAAATATTGTGTACAAAATTACCTTCAGGTTATGTGCACAAGGTGTATATGAAACATAAATGAATTTCATGTTTAGATGGGGTCCCATCTCCAAGATATTTAATTATGTATATGTAAATACCTGAAAAAAACCAAAATCCAAAACACTTCTGGTCCCAAGCATTTTGGATAAGGGAGACTCAACCTGTATATATTACAGCAGTGGGTACACATAACCCATAAAAATTACCAGGTGGTGAATTTGCTGTTGCAGCAAAACAAAAAAGATGACAAAATGAAGGACATATGAAATGAAGGACACATGGAATGAATGAAGAGCCATATGAAGATGGACCCCAAATTCTAAAAAGTGAGGTGGAAACTGCAGTAAGAGAAATAGAGAAAAACAAATCACCAGGAAGAGATGACATTCCAACTTAACTGCTGCCATCCACATTGACAGAGTCAGCTCTAGTGCTAACCAACATATGTCAACAGATATGGAAAACAAAATGATGGCCAACAGATTGGACGTGATCAATATACATCCCCATCCACAAAAAGGGAGACTGCAGCAACTATAAAACCATAGCACTGATCTCCCAGGCAAGCAAAATCATGCTCAAAATTCTGCAACTGAGGGGGAATGCAGGCAGGCGGCTTTGGGCCGCCCTGGGAAGTGGAGGATCAAGGCTGAGGCTGCCGAATAGTGCGGCCTCGATCCTACCTTTTGCTGGCCTGGAAAGGAGCGGGAAAGGCCGCTTTAAGAGCCGCCGTGCGGTTCTTTGGCGCCCCTTCCACCGTAGGGCATCAAAAGGCTGTGGCGTCAGGACATCTTCGGGGAGGGTTGACGCGGCTGGCGTGTGGCTGCCCCTTCCCATCCCTGCCTCCAGGATGGCCCAAAGCGCCCATCTGTAGAGGTCCATAGACCCCCTTACATGGAGAGAGAAGTCCCAGAGATCCAAGCAGGGTTCAGGAAAGGAGAGGCACTAAGGATCACATTGCAAACATATGATGGCTAATGGAGCGCACCAGGGAATTCCAAAAGAAAATCAGCATGTGCTTTATAGACTATAGCAAAGCTTTGGACTGCATAGATCATGAAAGGCTATGGAATGCCCTTAAGGACATGGGAGTGCCAACACATCTGATAGTTTTGATGAGGAATCTGTACTCAGGACAAGTGGCTACTGTCAAAACAGAACATGAAGAAACAAAATGGTTCCCAATTGGCAAAGGAGTCAG